CATAAAACTGGACGATAGAAAATTTTTCGCCAAAATCTGAATCTAATCTTGCTTGGATCATATCAAGTTAAGGAGAGATAAAGCTTTTGGGTTGTTGAATTATGAATACTAATAATTTTGAATTTTTATGTTTATGAAATCAATTAAGATGTTTTAATGAAATCTTATGTTTAAAACCATTTTGATGTCATTAATTGACCAATACCTTCTCAAATGTTATAACAAAATAAATAAAAGGTCAACCCCTCTTATTTACTATACTAAAAAAGATAAATTAATATAAAAATTATCCTTTTAAAATATCCATTTACCCTTTTTTTTTAGAAATCTTGAAAGAAATAAGATATAGTTAATAAGAGTAATATAGAAAAAAAATTGAATTATATATCTTATAAACATGTGAATTTAATTTATTTATCAATTGAATTTAATTATAATAAAAAATTGATTCCCAACAATCTCCAGGAGAGAAACTAAATAGAGGTGGTTTATGCATCCCATGATTTTTTTTAAAAATAGATTGAGTCTAAAAACAAATATTTTTAGTTTGATTTTATTTTGAGTCTTAGACCAATTAAAATGTGTTTTGTTATTGAAAATGAGTTTTAGAGGTCAACATAATGTTTTTTTTTAATGTGCTAGGGGTTAAAAAAATGATAAGTTTTTATTTAAAAATCATTATTATAACAAAACGATATAGTTTTAGTGGGAAAAGGAAAAATAAAAGGGAAGATTTTGGCTAAAGGAATATATTTTGTTTTCATTCACTTGAACCTTTACAAATATTTATCTTGATTGTGTTAAATATTCATCTAATGACAAAACTATTTGTGAAAAAAATATATATTTTATTAATATTATATGTAGATGATATATTACTGGTGAAAAATAACATATCTTTACTTTAATTAGTAAGAATTTGATTGTTCAAGAATTTCTCCTTAAAAAAAATTAGAGAAGTAACGTATATATTATATATAAAGATCTATAGAGATATATTGAATTCTTATCTATTTTACATGGAACATCTCCCTCGAAAGACATATGTTCTATGATATAGATTAAAAAAGATGTGATGGAAATGGCATGTAAGACATAGATAAACTAAAACTTTAAATTGTTTGAATTAAGATTTTCTCAATGAAATTTAAAAAAAATAATAAATATCAGTCAATAAATATTTTACTCTAAATTGTATTGCTTTGAGGTTGAAGAGTTCTAAATAAGAAAGCACAACTAACTCTACAACAGAATAAAAGTACACCTCTATGTTTGAGGAAACAAAGAAGTTGTTTGGATCAAGATGTTCATCGATGAACTAAGTTAGTTCCTAGCATTATTGATCCAGTTTCCCTGTACTGTGATAAGAATGGAACCATTATATACGTAACTAAACCAAAGTCTCATTAATGATCCAAACAAATACTTAAGAAATTCTATTTGATTTGATAAATTAATAAAATGAAAGATGTAAAGATAGAGTGAGTAATTTTGGTATTAGATATATGAGTGATTGATTTTAATGCAAGTGAGAGATTGTTAGTTTGATATGTTATATAGCCAATCAATTGGTTATATATGACATTTTTATATTCATGTAAATATATATTTATTATTAATAAAGACTTAATTTATCTTTAATATTCATATAATATTAAATAAATGAATATAGAGTAAAGGTAAAGTCTATGAAACAAAAATATTTTGTAAATGAGTTATAAAGTTGTTATAATTATTAGATTCTCATTATATTAAAGTAGTATTCCTAAAATAATAATGGTCGATACACTTTTAAATACTGAATATTCATTAGAATCGTAAAGATTGATATAATTATGTTTATTTTTTTATAAATGAAAGCAGATGTTCTCATGTTATCTTAATCGAGGTAATGAAAAGACAAATATTATGTACAACATAAATTATATGAAGATACTTAAGTGGTCAAAAGAGAATTTAGGTGAATCAAGAAAAATATTTCATCTGCTTTCAAATCGTATTGACTGAGAAATTCTTGGCCAAGGTGGAATGAGATTTGAAAAGAGTTTCAAAACTTATTCAAACGCTCAATAACTATTATACAAAAAAAAAATGATTTAACATGACATACATATTTAATGATTTAATGTTAAATAACAATATTATTGATGAAAGAATATTAATTACATTGAGAAACTAGTAATTGAAAGGTTAAGTCAAACCACTAATAACTTTTCTAATATTTAGGAGATCATGACACGTTGTTAGATGATGCACCTCATCTTCAAGTATAAATTAATTAATTGTTGAATTGATAATAAATTAAATTGTTTAATTTATTTAATTATATTTATAATTTATATTTGGGTTAACATATTAGAAAACCAATGGATTATATACATTAAAAACCATTTACCAGAAATTAAACTAAAAAAATTTAATTAAGTATGGCTTGATTAACATATATCATAATAATGTTTTCAAAAATTAAATAGGTACAACACCATCAAAAAACAATCTCTATCTAAAAAGTTTAAATAAACAAAAACAAAATCACAAATGAGAGATATGAATTGAAATTTAAAAATTATTAAAAAAAAAGATATATATAAAAAAAGATACCAGTAAAATATAAAAATATCATAAAAAATAATTTTCCTGTTGTTGTGACTTAAATTAATAAACTCGTGACATAGACCATGGACTCAAATAAGTTTAATATTTTTTTCTTAAATTTATATTTAATTTTTTAAAAAACAAACTAGTGACCTAGACGATGAACTCAACCGGATTCAATAATATATTTTCTTAAATTTATATTCAACCTTCAAAAAAAATTCAAAAATTAAATATGTATAACACCATAAAAAAAATCTCTATAAAAAAAGGTTAAATAAACAAAAAAAATCATAGATGTTGGATACTAATTGAAATATAAATTTAATTATTATTTTTTAATACACACACACACACACACACACACACACAAAAGAGCAATGTCAGAACAAATAATAATTGTATAGTTATTATTACTTAACTCGTTAAACCCATGATTTGAACCATGAACTCAACCATATCCAATATTTTTTATTTTAAATTTATATACAACCCTTTTTTTTCTTAAAAAAGTAAACTTCTGGATTATGAACTCAACTAGGTTCAATAATTATTTTTTTAAAATTTATATTCAACATTTAAAAAAAATAAAAAAAACTAAATATGTACAACAATAAAACAATCTCTATCCAAAAAATGTTAAATAAAAAAAATCACATATGAGGGATATTGATTTAAATATTATTTTTTAAAAAGATATATAACAAAAGATACCAATAAAAGAAATTATAGGAAAAAATATAATTGTTTGGTTGTTATGACTTAACTTAAACCCGTGACCTAGAACATGAACTCAATTGGGTTCAATTTTTTTTAAAAAAAATTTATATTCAACTTTAAAAAAATTATACAACCTAGACCATAAAATCAATCAGGTTCAATATTTTTTATCCTTAAATTTATTGCAAATCTTAGAGGAAAAAAAATGAACAATATCATTCTCTATAAAAAATGATGGGATGAACAATGTGGCAGTTTTCACCCTACATATTTTCCTATTAAATTTATAGTAATACTTTAATAATAATAAAAATAATGAATAATATCATCTACAATAAACACATGATAAGATAAATAATAAGGCTATATAGTGTTCACCTCACATGTTTAAATTTATTAAGTAATAAAATAAAATAACACTATTTACTCAATTTTAATGTTTAATAAAAATTAAACAATGTAAATAAATTTATAATTTATTAAATAATTTTTTAAATTTATAAAAGAAATTTAATACCCTTCAGAATTAATATGTCAAAATTAATATGAATGTCATTTTTCTTTTTTCTTTCTTATTTTAACTCACATGTTTGAAAGAAATTTTTTAAGAATAAGAATGAATTGAATAAATAATATATTTTCATTTATTCAAGTCAAATAAATTTTATATAGATATAAACTTTAAATAAAAAATCAATTAACAAATTAAATCTTGAATTGCTAAAATCAACTCTTTTAGGGGATATTTGATAATGTTATTGCGATTGATTTTAAAATTATTTTTTATTTAAAAATATATCAAATTATATATCAAAATAATATACAAATCACTAAAAAAATTAATTTTAAAAAATTAAATATTTTTTAAATAGAATAACAAACAACACCTTAATTCTTAAGATTCTAGAAAGTATAAAACTATTTTACTTAAAAAAGTCTCTTTTCTTTTCTCATCGCATTAGCTTTGTTATCTTAAAATAGGTAAAATATAGTTATTAAATTTGAACCAGCCCAGCAGATTAATATAGGATCCAATCAATCCGGTTATTAGACAAGTCTACGTAAGTCAAAAACTCAAGATAAGTAAAAACTCAATAAAATTCGGTTGATTTACCTGGTTGACTTGTTACTCCAGCAAAATCTAGTTGGAATTTTTTTTTCTTTTCAGATGTGTTTTTTCTTTTAATCAAAGATTTTATATATATATATATATATATATATATATATTTAGTTGGTTATTAACTTTTTTTAAAATTAATTATATACATACTAAAAATATTTTATTTTTTTTAATGTAGGATTTGAAATTTATTAGTATATATGCTTTATATTTATAAGAAAAAAATTATTTTTTCAATGTTGAATTTCAAGTTCTTTAATATATATACTCTACATTCACAAAAAAAAAATATGTTTTTTTAATATGAGATAAAAAATTTTATTTTAAATATTTTAATTTTAAAAATAATATAATAATATGGTATTTTTTCAATATGAAATAAAATAATTTAAAATAATTTTTTGAATTTTATTATTTATAATATGGATTGTATATATTTTCATAAATTATTTAATTTTTTTATATAAAATATTAAAATTTTAAATTTTTTAATTTTTTAGATTAATTTAAATAAACTCATATAACCTACAATGTTACTTCTTGACCGGTTAAACCCCGAGTCTGCGCTAAAAGAGAAAGGGGCTTCTCTGATTAATGGTGCTGAAAAGACCTGCCATGAACAGGATTCGTGGCTGGGGGCGTCCAGATATTTTCGTTGTGATTATTGCATAGAAACAAAGGAGACGTGTTGATGATGGCCCAAAGAGAGGAAAACCCTCAAAAGCCTGCAAGAGAAATGAGTACACTGCACCAGACAGCAATTTGCTTACCCATCTCCCTCTCTTCCTCTGTCTCAATCTCCTTGTTTTACTCCTGTGTCTCTTCTTTCTTTCTCTCTTCAGCTTGAGTCTTGTCCGCTTCATCCATCTCCCACCGACTGCAGAAGCTTTGTTTTTTTAGCCTTTTGGTATCCTCTTTCTTGCTTTAGGTGAGTTTTCTGAAATTTTTATCCTTTATTTTCAAAACTCATTTGTGTTTGTGAGCTTTTAAATTTGGTGGAGAGAAAGAGAGAAATCATGAATCTTGTTCAAGTCTGAAAATATGAAGTTTCTTGTTTTTTGGGTTCTGAAAGAAAAAACCATACTTTTCACGCAAACAAATTGACCCAGGTTTGGATTTTTCTTCTTGGTGCTTAGATGAAATTTGGTTAAGGCATGAGTAATTGCTGTCTTTTTAACCTTCTTTTTGTTAAGGAAGAAACAAAAGTTGCCATGGTTTTCTAGTTTTTGATTATAGCTTGTTGTTTCTACTTATTTTCTTTTCCTTTGTTGTTACCCCTTACCACAGCCTTTGATTTCAGAGAGAAATGCCTTTAGCACGATATGAAAATAGTATGGGAAATCGATCACTCTCTCATCGGCAAAGAAGTGAGCTATATTATTGTATGATGAGATCGACAGTAGTCATTGATTGTAAGATCGTTAGAGATGTGATCGATAAAGGAAGAACGGTGATAGATACACGCAGAGGTGGAGGTGTGATTTTGAACGAGCAAGGGTTGATACTTACATCGTTGAGGCTTGTCCACGAGGTTTCCTCAATCTCAGTCACACTTTCTGACATGACAACTACATATGAGGCAACAATAGTATTTGATATTGTTAATTCAGATTTAGCTCTAATTAAGATTTCTGAATTAGGAGGAGGGCAACGACTGATGTACGCTCAAATTTCACCTCAAGTTTTGGATGTAGGTCAAGAAGTATTATCTATCGGTAGTTCATATCAATTGCCACCTTTTCATTGCTCATATTCATATGCCAATGAGTTGGTTACTGTCGGAACTCAAAATGTTTTGAATGAAGAAGTCAATTGGAGGGCACACGACTTTCCAGGAATGATGTATATGGCAGGTTCTCCCGTGTATGATTCATCAGGAAAGATTGTAGCTTTGCAGCAGGGTCATAACTCTCATCATGTAACTGGATTGCCTGGTGAGAAATTACTTGAATTTTATTTAGCCTATAACGGATAAGTTATTGTCGTGGAGGAAGTTTATATTGTTGGATAATAAGCTTTATTGGGATTGATGCTGTCTTATTTGTAAGCAACAGATATCTATGTTATGGGTTTTTTTTTTCTTATTGTATCGCGTGTGAACTCTCTATGTTTGACTAAATGGATAAATATAAAGATGTATGCTTCTTTTTTCTTTTCTTTTCCCCTTTCGGTCTAGATTGTTTAATTTTTAATATGCAAATGCAATAGTAATGTTGTTGATTTGTGAGTAAACATGGGGTATCTCAGTCATGGTTTGGGTAGTTGATTGCCAATTTTTGGCTACTTTTTGCTTGCGGAGTATAACTGAAGATCTCCATCCCTTCATTAAAGTTTGACTCTGGATGATTATAGAAGAACCCTTGATGAACGACAACCATGAAATATATATTGAAATTGTAGAGTGTTATAGGTGGGAAGATTGGGACTTGAGCGTAAGGTGAGTTTGCTTTTTGGAAAAAAAATTATTTTATTTTATTTATTTTTTAAAATTAATATTTTTTTTGATGTTTTTATATTATTTTGTTTGATGAGTCGATGTTAATAATTAATTTTTAAAATAAAAAATTTATTATTTTAATATTTTTTAAATACAATACTTTAAAAAACAATTATAATTATATTTCCTGCTGCGGATCTGGACTTTGTTGTACAAGTTTTGATTTGGCTTGGATAGGCTTAAAATTTTTATTTTTTTTATATTTAGAATAATATTTTATTAAATTCAAGTTTAATAAAGTATTTAATGATATTAAGATATTTTTTTTAACAAAAAAAAGTCTGAATATATCAAAATAAAACAAGTTAAATAATGAAAAAAATAAACATATCTAAACTTCAAAAGATAATATATTAATATAATATTTTGTTAATATGAGATAAAACATTTTGATTTTATTTTAGTAAATCCTAGTAATTTTTTAAATTCTATTATTTATAACATATATTTATATATATTTTATATGAATTATTTTTACGTTAAAAATTTATTTTTTTAATAAATTTTTAATCGACTCGAATAAACTCATAATTTCAGATTCAGTTTTTTTAACCGAGTTAATCCTAAATTCTTGACCGAGTTAATCCCAAATCGGATACAATAACTTCTCTGATTAATGGTGCTGAAAAGACCTGCCATGAGCAGGATCCGGGGCAGAGGGCATCCAGACATTTTCGTTGTGATTATTGCAAAGAAACAAAGGAGACGTGTAGAGGATGGCGTCAAAGAGAGGGAAACAATTGGCCCTCGAAAGCCTGCAAGAGAAATGAGTACAGTGTTAAGAAATTGATATTATTGTAGCAACCACTCCACTCGATTTGTACAAGTAAGAGTATAAATTATGGTATAATTGCAGTCATATTTTATAGTTTTATTGTTCCTTTCATGATTACAAATGTGCTGGAGAATTACAAATGTGCTGGAGGAGCTGTTTATTTATAAAAAAGGTATGATTTTGTGAGAGCAAATGAAAAAAAATGTACAATAAGTGTATATAAGAAAATAAAAAGAAAAAAAGAGCTACAATGACAATAATTTTGGTGTTATTGCAGAAGCTGCAAAGATAACAATAAAAATTGGAAGTAAAGTAAGAGTAAAATTAATTTTTTTTTTATATATTTGTTTTATATCAACTCCCATATAAATATAAATAATTTATCAAATTATATTAAATATTATATCAATATATTTAATTTTTTATAAATAAATATTAATATATCACCGGTCGAGTTCTCATGGATACCAAACAGCAATTTGCCTTTTCATCTCCCCTCTCTTCCTTTTTCTCAATCTCCTAGTTTTACTCATGAGTCTCTTCTTTCTCTCTCTCTTCAACTGGAGCCTTGTCCATTTCATCCATCTCCCACCGACTGCCGAAGCTTTGTTTTTTTAGCTTTTTGGTGTCCTCTTTCTTGCTTTCGATGAGTTTTCTTAAATTTTTATCCTTTATTTTCAAGACTCATTTGTGTTTATGAGCTTTTAAATTTCACGGAAAGAGATATTATAGAGAATGAGTTTGTGAATTTTTATTTTAAAGGTTTAATCTATAAATTTTGTTATTTCATGAAGACATAATTAAATGGTAATTTTATCTTTATAATATTTTAAATTATTTTATAAATTATATTATCTTTTGACACATTGCCAAGCCCTCACAGTACTGAACTTGCTCATTCTCTTAGGCATAATCAAGAAAAGATAGTCATGAAAGTTTTTTAAACCCGTTAAAAATAAATTTATCAAAGTAAAAACCAAGCTTACCTTGTAAGAGAAGTCAGGAGAGAGTGATGAGACCGAGGGGGAGACTTGTACAATCGGCATTGCTAAATCAGACAATGCACCATGCTAAAGACATGTTCTACATGATGGGATGGACATCAAATTTATATTATAGGTAGCAGGGGAACAAATACAATGTGTTAAGCTCTACATAATGTGATAAGCTTCAAATTTATGTACAGCTGCAAATTTAAATTTAACAAGTTAAATCAAATTAATTAAGATTGTTTTGTTTTATTTTTTTATTTAATTTTTTTTAAATTTATCTTTTACAATTAAATTTGTTAAAAATTAAATTTTTTATTTTTTTTTCTATAATGTTATCTCAAATTCATAACTAGGATGACGTAGTTGGTAGGTTGATTCAAGTTGACTGAGGTCGACTCGGTTTATTATTAATTGAATTATTTTTTTAATTTCATTCTGTCATAACTCAATTTTTATAAATTTTTTTTATTTGCCTATGTTTATCCTAATCTTATATATTTAGTTTTTTTTTCTCGATTTCAATCTTCAATATTGGATCTGTTGGAAATAAAATTTGTTATTTTTTGTTTTTTTATAAAGTTATTCAAATCTAATTACCTAGATTACAAATTTAACAAATTAGCCAGAGTGAATTTTTTAAAAAATTAATTTATTTTTAGTTTTATTTTTTAATATTAAATTAAATAAAAATTAAATTTTATAATTTTTTCAATTTATTTTTTTATAAAATTATTCTGACACGATGACCAACAGGAATATATATGCACCAATTCCTCTACAGAAACTCTACCATCCAATCATCCAGAGTCAAACTTGATGTTGAAGGTTGGACATTTTCAGTTATGCTACATGGCAGAAAAAAGTAAACAACAATTCATCCATTAAAAATACTTCCCATGCCACTATAACTAAGATAATCCATGCGTATTTACAAGCTAACCACATTACTATTGCTTTCGTATTTATAACAAACGATGCAGAAATAGGAATCTCGTAAAATGGACACCCTGAAAAAGACAGCTTCTAGGATGAAGTACTAATTTAGGACTTTGTTAAATTCCCTGAGAATAATATACAGCAGTGGTAATAGGGGGAAACTATCTAAAATGAAAGGAAGAATTAAAACAAGAGAAACACCGAGGACAAATTGAAGATGAGGGAGAATGTGGGCTTGATCATCCCTTAACTGCTCTTTGCAAATTTCTACAGCTTTGATTTTAAAAACCAGTTTCAGTTATAATAATTAGAGTGCTTGATCCTTGGAACATCTGTACACATGGCACACAAGGTAAGAGGAGGGATTCGCCAAGCTAACTTCATTGAGTTTTACATGAAAGATGATAAAGATCTCGGCAAGACCTCGTAGACTGATCCCTTAACAACTCGCCATTTCACAAGTGCTTGTGATCAAATTGTGCAATGCATCACTCACATATGACTTTTTTATGCTGTGTTAGAAGAAGAAGATGATGAGTAAAATCTGTTACCGCTCCCCTTACACAGCCAGAGAATCCCGTCTATAAAATCTTCACCACTGTTATCTTTGGCCTGAAGAAGCTGTCTCACTCCAGATTGAGTGAGACCATCAACATGATGCAGCTAAGACATACAAACGAGAAAATAGAGGGAAAAGGTCTTAACGATAGGACAAGTTAAGACAATAGTTAGCATTAGGTAATAAAAGAGTTAGTAAGAGGTTAGTTACATTCTTTCCTATGCCAATGGTGGGGATTTTAGCCAGAACACCAAGATGGCAAGCCAAGCCGAAACCTGTGAAAGAGAGCTATTTGCTATTTGCTATATGTAATGCAATGCATAAAAAGAAATGAAGATTCAATGGAAAAGGAGAGAGAGAAACTTGCCTCGAGGATGTAGCAAACCATTGCCATCAACAAGCAGTAACTGTTGAATAAAACAGAGACAACCTCAATTTCAGATAAACCTTAATTAACAGGCAAGGCAAGAGAGTAGGAATCGATACATATGATGCATGGAAGGTATATATGGTACGAGATTATCATATTCATAAAGGGGATGGGAGGGGAGGGATGAAATGAAAAAGAAAGAGGATTGTGGATTGGCTGACCTGGGGGTGGAATGGATTGTCAGTTTTTTTCATCTTCTGTAACAGTTGTAACAGTATTGGAGCCTAAAAATCATCATCATCATCATCATCATCATCATCAATGAGAAATAAAGCAGGAAAGAAAGAATCGCAATGATAACAATAATAAAGAAGGAAAGAAAGAATCGCAATGATAACAATAGATTCTACTGACCTCTCGGAAAGCAAGGAAGGAAGGAATATAAGGGACATCGAAATTGGTGAGGAGAAAGAAATCTTGGTAGACGACTTGCAGAGTGGGAGTGGTGACATCCAAAACAACAAGGCTTCCACATCCGCATGCTGCCGTTGATGCTGCTGCTGCTGCTGAGTCTAATTCCTTAGAATAGCTTACATCAACCCCACCCACATATTTCAATAACGTTCCTTCTTCTTCAACAACAACATTGCCGCTGCTGCTGGGTATGGGCAGTTTCCAAGGGAAATCATCCTGTGTTATCAACCTCTCTTTAAGTAAATCTTGAATCCTGCTTTTTACAACATTTAATCAATCGATCAATCACATATATCACATAAATCACTGCTATACAAACGAGAAAACAGCATTCAAGCAAGCAAGCAAACGAGTAGCAGCCTAGCATCATACTCTCTCCATTGATTTTGGATTTCAATTGATGATGATGATGATTCTCCCCGATCCCGTCCATGACGAAGACCATGATCATCCATAGATGTAATCGTTGCTTGCAAGCTTGCCTAAAATCCGTTTGAACTATCTTCAGCCCAGTTGCCAAAACCACAGATTGCTAGCCGCCGCCCATCAATCACGCAGTATATTTACGTTTAAATGATTAATTTAGTAACAAATGATAAGAACTTCAACCGCTAGCTTGTCACCCACCAGAATCGAAGGAAATAAATTATTCAAATTGATGTCGATTTGAAGGATTGAAAATCAATTATTTTATGATATTTGATAATTATAAAAATATAAATTGGTAAATATATTTTAATATTTAACTATATTATGAAAAATAATTTGTAAAATAATTTATTTTATTTTTAAGTTTATTAAATGAATAAAAATAAATTTTATAAATTAAAAAGATGAGTAAAAATAAAATTGAAAAAAATTAATTTTATAAAAAATTCAAAAAAAATATATATAATAATTAGAAGTTTAAGTATTAAATTTGATATAATTAATAAATAATATAATATTTTTAAATTTTTTATAACTTTTAGAAAGTATTTCTATTTAAAAATAAAAATATATTTTTTAAAAAATTAAATCAATTTTTTTAATTGAAAGTCTTTTTTTATTGATTAATTTTTTTAATAATAAATAAATATAAAAAAATAAAAAATCATTTTTTACGAAACGAACATGCTTAACTCTTTGATGATTTTTTATGTAGGAAAATGACTTGTAATCAATGCTAAGAAGAAAACATAAAATGTGGTCTGAAACATTATTTACTAAAATAATAATAGATAAATTAAAATGTTAAGGATTAAATTGAAGTTTTTCGTGTTTAAACTTAAATGAGTTATTGTTTTTCTTTGTAAAAATTGATCCTTAATTTTTTATTAATTTCTATTTGTAACTAAGAGTAAAATCCTATATTGCAAAATTAATTTTTAATTCATTCCCGAGTATTTCTTGAGACTTCATGCGTGCAAGAGAATGCAAAATAATAATAATAATAATAAACAAAATCTTAATTTTCTAATTAACGCACGTCCATGTTCATTGAAACAAGGTGTTTATTTTTTATTTAGTTAGGTTTTTATCAAAAAAATTAAATAAACTAAAAAAAAATATTGAAAAAAAAACTGAACTAGAACTGGTCAAACTGATTGGTTTCGGTTTGGTTTATTTCGGTTTTTTAGAGAAAAAACCAGTTAAAACCGGTTTAGCTCGATTTTTTCAATTTAGCTCCGTTTTCTTGTTTTTGGCTTGATTTTTTAGTTTGGCTCGGTTTTTTCCGGTTTGGCTCGGTTTGGGTTCGGTTCAGTTCAATTTTTTTGATTTTTTTTTTACAAAACTGAAACCAAACCGAACTGGCTGAATTTTTCAAAATTTTAATCGGATTTTTTTTAGTTTGATTTTTTTAATTATTATTTTTTAATTTTTTCAATTTAATCAGTTTTTTTATTTTTTTAAATACCCCTGCCAGGCATTGACATCGAAGAGGACTCCATTTTAGAACTAGAAAGTTCCAAAATCAACAATAGCCAGCAGAACACTGCTTCAAAATGCCAAAAGCAGTAACCATCTTAATTTCTATGTCGTCTCGATCAGATGATGAACTAAAAAAGATATACAGACCCTTTTTTCAAGCTATAAGTCTGCAAAGGTTACAAGTTTAAACAACATCATTTCCGACAAACTTCCTCACAACAGGATATCCAAGGTGTTCATGTGCGACTATCCCAAGAACTCTCCCTCTTGCATCAAACACTGGAGCTCCAGAGCATTCCGACACCATTGATATGTCACTCACCATAAACATCGGCTGACTTTTATTCCCAAAATCGAACCCAAGGGTACCATAACCAGTGATTTTCGCAGCAGCGAAGACGTGAGAGAGAGTTGCAGACATGGAAATAATGTGGACCTCTTGTCCAATTTTAACTGTATCATCTCCAAGATATACTTCAGCATAATCAACATCTCTATTCTACTGATACTTGTATTATTAACAATATACTAAAACATACGGGGAAAGCACTATAGGTTCCCACGTCTTTTAATAATAATAATAATAATAATAATAATAATACTATAATGATAATTATATTATTATATTATAACATTTTTTCATTTTTTTACTTTTTATACCTTTATAGTTATTTTTTTTACTTTTTTCTTTTTTTTTCCTTTTAATACATTTTTTTTATTTAATTTGGTTTTTTAATAAATCTTGAGTTTAACGGGTTAACCTGATTTGACAAGTTGACCAGAAATTTCCTTTTTTAATTAATTTTTTTCGTTTAGTTTAGTTTGTTAATATTAAATTT